TGAAGAGAAAAATCCTGAGCAGTTGGGAGCAACAGGTTTGTCTTTCAGTTCCTGGGAGTTAAATAGAGTTAACATAGTAACAGTCTTGTGACCAAACTTTGGTTGGCAGCAACCAGTGGGAGCAGTTGTTCTTTTTCTCCATATTTGCGTTCATTGTGTTTGAGCATGCGGCTGTCTGCAGGTGATGTACTTCAATGACAATGTGGGGAGCCTTGAGTGCTTGCATGGGTTTGTGTGTAGTCTTCTGAATGAAGTGAAGTGACTTACCATCGATTACATGACATATTTTGAAAAAATGCTGACCTTTTCGTGGCACTAATTTTATCTAAACTGCTGCTAATGTCAAGGGGTATGAAAAACAACGGCATATTTCCCGTTTCCCAAGAGTCAAATGACTAGTGGACAGGAACTAAGTTGTGATGAATTGAGTCATCTTCAACTGTATCAAATTGGTCTTAGTATTGAATGTGAAATCTAATACTGAATGTGGAGACCCCGCCAAAGTTGCACTTTTTTGCACATTGGAATCACTTTGTTGCACATTGGAATCACTTTGTTGCACATTCAAATTGGTAGTCCTTTACTTAGAAAGGAAGAGGCAGAGTCAAAGTTGCACTTTTGTTCACTTTTTAATCACTTTGTTGCACTTTGGAATCACTTTGTTGCACTTGGAAAGCAGTGTGTTTGGGGAGGGTGAAACTCATCGCGTTGACTTGGCGGGAACAACCGTGCGCGTCTCAGGTCACCATGTCGACATTGTGAAGGACAAAAGGTGACGTTGACCGACTGGCTGAGTTGTTGACAAGTGACTCATGACATATGACATGGCAGCCATGACCATCATCATAACATATGACTTATGAGTTGTTTCGATTCTTGTCATCCTTGTCATCTATTGCATTGTAATTGTAAGCTTTTGATGATGCAAACAATTTGTGTATGACGTTTGTATTGAATGCATTGCTTGTGCTTGTGTATGTACTCTTGTCACTAGAGTTGTATGATTTCTATATCACTGCAGTCCTTTTTGAGAAGAAGTTTGGTGTTTTTCGATTAGTTGTGACATTTGGCAACATGGGTCGCACTCACCACAAGAAGTCTAAGAAGAGCTCCGGTGTGCCTCAGCCGATTTTCATGATGCCACAGATGATGCCACAGATGATGAACCCTGCGACGATGCAACAGGTGCCTCAGCCGACTCAGGAGAGCTCCGAATCATCTGCAGATGAAGGTGAGACATCCAAGCCTGCGCCCAAGCCTGATGCAGAGATTCCTCGAAACGTTACTATGGTAAGGGCCATCGCTCGCAAGAACATGCTTGAGATCTTGGAGCATATTCACCCCACGCTGGATCGAGCTTGGATGGCTGAACTTGGTCAAACTGGGTTGATGGCGTTACTATGGTGCATTTCGAAGACCAAACCCAATTGCAAGATTTCAGATCTAGGCTCTGTGTTTATTAAAATATGAGTTTGCACTGTTTGTCACAAAGACTGTCCTCACACCAGAATCATTGATATGATATTTGGGCATGGTTGAAACTATGTTTGATTATCATGTCAAGTACTGATTCTGATTGATCTTCAGTGCAGTACTAGCTGTATGGTTTTTGTTTGAATGATATTTACAAGTCAAGTCATGTCATGAGTGATGAAAAAGTCATATGTCATGACATGAGGCATGAGTCATGAGTCTGAGTCATTCCTTCATGACAGCCCGCCTCAGGTGCAGGTTATTGGTCTGAATTGAAGGCGGCCCTCAATCGGGCTCATTGTCGAGTGGCAAGCTCTTTGGGCGGGCCTGAGGAGTTCAAGCGGGCAGTGACAAGCAGGTTTCCAGTGGCCATGTCGGACCATGAGGTTGTCACTTTGGCCAGGGAATTTGGTTGGGAGGACAACTTCATGGAACCTCCAAAGACAAATCGGAAGAGGGCACGCGAGGCAACTCGACAGGATGGTGTCACCAATCAGTCTGGTGATATTGGGCAGCTTCTTGCTATGTTGCAGCAGCAGCAGCAGGGGTCTTCCTCTGCGCAGACAGCCGCAGCAGACAGTAGTCAGCCTGCTCCACCTTCTGACCATGTGCCAATCGTCAATGAGCAGCAGGAGACTATGTCAGCTCCCTTGCCACAGGTGCCCCGCAGGTTTGCCCGTCCTGCACAAGCTACTCCTGTCCCAGCCACTCCAATGCTGGCACCTGTGCCAGGTACCCCTGTCCCAGTGCCAGCTACTCCTGTGCCTTTCGTCCGATTTGATCCGCATCAGATTGTTTTGGCAACTCCACCTGCTGTGCCAACACCAATGGCACCAAATGCAGCCAGCAAGTCAAGACCTCGGCCTCCGCTACGTGTTGAAGGCCCAGCTCCTGTTGGTGGTGGTGATGAGGATCTCCTTCGTAACCTTGAGCCTGAGCTCGAGGCGGCCTTGGACAATGATGTGGTGGCCATGGATGTTGATGAGGACATGGAGAATGGTAATGATCATGGGGATGCCGGTGGTGAAGCTCGTGAACCAAATGAAGTCGAGTCAATGAATGAAGAACTCAATGAAGACAAGTGCAACATTTGTTTGCAGTCTATGGACATGGGCTCTGAAGTTGAGGTTGCAGACAGGGTGACTTGCTTGCCCTGTGGCCACAAGTGCCACACAGTTTGCTTGGAGCGGTGGAATCAGACGAATCCACCCGCTGGCAATTACACATGGCGCTGTGCTTACCGATGCCAGCTGTATGTTGGGAATCAGAATGCGGCTGCTGCTTTTTTTCCTCCAGCTGCCGGTGTTCCTCCAGCTGCCGGTGTTCCTCCAGCTGCCG